ATCAGCCAGGCGTGGTGGTGTCCGTGTGTAGTCTCAGCTACTCTCGGGGCTGAGGCAGGAGAATCGCTTGAACCTGGGGAAGCAGAGGCTGCAGTGAGCCCAGATCGCCTCATCGCACTCCAGCTTGCGCAACAAGAGCGAACCTCCGTCTCAAAAGCAAAAACAAATACAAAAATTAGCCGGGCGTGGTGGCACATGCCTGTCATCCCAGCTACTGGGGAGGCTGAGGCACGAGAATTGCTTGAACCCAGTAGGCGGACGTTGCAGTGTGCCAAGATCGCGCCACTACCCTCCAGCCTGAGCGACAGAGCAAGTCTCCGTCTCAAATGAATAAACAAACAAATATATGTGATCTTATTTAACTCATAAAGGAGCCAGGCAAATGTTTAGGGAACCGAGGAGAAAGAGAGGGAAAGCCAAGCTGCGCGGGCTTAAGGGAAGTGAAGGTCTCAGTGAGGCCTGTTCACAATTATCGGCTTCTTCAGGTTGTTTTTCTCCTGCAGAACTAGGTGGTTGCGCTTCGCTGGATTTTTCTCCTGTTCCTCACTGGCTTGGTCCCAGCCGCAGAGCTCTCTCTGCCCCCGGGCCTCCCGCGGCCCCGCCCCCGCGCGCGCAGTTTGTGGCCTCCGCAGTCCGGCGGTCTCCATGGCAACCACGGGACGCGCTCTGCCGCGCTGGTCTAAGCTGAGCGGGTGGAGCCGAGGCGGAGGCGGAGGCGGAGGATACAGGGAGATGGTGGGGGTGGGGCGCCACGTAGGGCGAGCGCGAGGGGCTAGGGCGGGGGCAAGGGCGGGCAGCTCCTTTTTTCTGCCCCCCTGGTGCCTCCCTTAGGCCTCATCCCCAAAGCCAGCTTCCCTGAAAAGCTGGTTTGTAGAAACCAAAAAACGAAAAATCCTAAGGGCACCTAGGTTTCAGGAATGCTGGTTAAAGAATCGCAAGTCTGAGAGGTCAGGACAGTGCCTTCCACGTGGTGACCTCGCAGATGAGACGTTTGGGTATGGTAGTCATACAAGGGCTTTGGTTTTGTTAGTTTTGTTTAGTGTTTGTTAGTTTTATTTGGTGGGGGATGGGGAGCGGCGCAAGGATAATCTTGGAAATGAAAACCCCAAATGTCCCACATTTTCTTTTTTTTTTTT